GCACCTCGAAACTACAGCTGAAGTCAGCTGAAACCTGCGAATTGGGAATTGAGCAGGAGAAGGAATTTGGTGAATTACTCAAAGACTGCATCCACCAAAGCAAGGAGAGCGGTTAGACCATGTACTACGCATGCTAGCTTACTGCCTGGTGGAAAGGGTCTCGTTTTCCGTGCCTTGTTTGAAGTGACCTAAACCTAGAGGTCGACATAAACTGACATGAAATTAAGGACGTTATTAAAGGCTGGGATGTCATTTGTACTGTACACCTCCAAGATGAAATCAAGCAACTCTCCCTGTGCCTTGCTAAAGACACTAAACAATATGACGACCAACCGAAATCAGTAGTGTTCATGTTGTCAGACTCTATCCAGATTGCCTGACTGCGTTTTGGAGGAGCAGGCACCTGAAGTTTTTTGGTAGGATAATCCTGAGTCTCCTTCCACGTCCTTCTTTTCATTTTTGATTATAAGACTTCAAGTAACCGAAGTTTTATTTTCATTCTTGGAATTATCATCAATGGTGTCAATGATAGTATTGAACAAAATGTACAAGGCGGTGCCCTAGGTAAGTATGCTCGGGCTGGCCCTATGCACTTAATGTCCAAGGTGTGTGAACGAACAAGTGAGCGCTTTCTGTCTGTCTCAAAGAAGTTTCACTTTGGTGTTTAAGTACAAAATAGGATTGATGGAATTTCACTGGCTTAGTCTGCCTGATTTACGCCAAAAGCAGTGATGGTGGGGGGCTTATTGTCTATGCACCGAGAGAAATTCGGTCCCGATACCGATGACGAAAGAAGTTGGTGAGGAAATTGACAAAATAGGTCAACTAAGATGTTGGTTAAGGTTTCTGGTATTCTAGAAGTTCTTACAGTGGTAACACCTTTGCCATATTAGAGCTTTTTTGGACGAAGAGTCGGCGGAGCAAGGTGGAACACCAGTTAAGCCGCCCTTACAAAGAAGAAGGACTAAAAATTAGCATTGTCCCATGATCTTCTAAATATTGTTTGTTTTGATAGAAAAAAATGTGTGCCGATGAAATTCAAACGGGATTTCTCACTCGATTTTATAGCGCATGGGGAATCTTAATTCACTAGAGTGAATCAACGCTCCGTAGTTTCCCATGCAGGAAGCTTTAGCCCGGGTAAAGAAAGGTACAATGAACTACCGACCCTGCTAATTTGAAACCTGTGCTCTGAGTGTTATTTATCATTCTGTTGTACAATTACCCTCTTCGATTACTTGAATTTTTTCAGCTAGCGATAACCTATTCCACGTTTATGCAACTTGTATAAAAACATTTTGAACGACAGACATAATAAACCTTACAATCAGATGCCAGTTTAGTCGTGACTATATTTTTGCCAACGAGTCTGTCTTGTGTGCCCTTGAAAGCAATTCGTTTTTATTAATGTCTAACCACCACATTATCCAGTCTGTTTTTTCAAAGTACACTCCAAATCAAACTCTCGGACCATCACCCACACTTCGAAAAACCGAATCCGGAAGTGTATTCTGAATAGGCACATCTCCGACCATTTCCGGCATCCTACTCTAGTAACTTGGAGATGTGAGTCTGTCCATAACTTTTGTCTGCACTGATATTCTCTTCTGGGAATCGTTTCAAATTAGTCGTACTCAAGAAAGAGATTTTGAAAACAACAGATCTACTGAGTCGGGGATAAGTCCATACTCAAAATGTGTGCCGTCTAAAGTAAGTCGGCATATTCAGGCTTAAAGCCCCTTGCGCAAACTTCTTGAAACATTGTAGTGGTAGGCATACGCGGCGAACAATAAAAAGCCTTTGGACTAAAAATGATGTACATTCCGGCTGCCGCCATTTTAGCGAACAAACAGTGTTGTCACAAAGTTGGCATCACCATCCGTCCAGAGGGCTCAACAGATTAACCAACGACAAAAATGGTCTTAACAACGCAACCATTGTGTGTTCAATCACTGTGCTTCAGACGTCCCACTTCTATTGTGTCCTTTTTCAATTGTGAGGAATTCTGTATTGCCAGCCGGTTGAAAATCGCTGGAAAATTTCTAATACCCGGTGTCCACCAAATTCCATCCAATTGCACGCTGTTGGGAGTGTCAGAGCAGTTGGTACTTAGCGTTGCAACTCCTACAATGAAGGCTTCTAGTAATTCATTTCATTGTGCGTGCAAGGCGCAGAGATCTACCAAGGATGATTTAGCCTGTCCTCATCAAACCATTTTGAAAACTTGAGACATCAGAAAAAAGTACTTTTGGTTGTGACATACGAAATTTAGCACCGTTTTTTACATCCAATCAAACATGGACACTCCCTCTGGACAAACGTTCCGGTGCGTACATCGAAAAGCCGTCTTGTTGCTCGTATACAACTACATAACCGATCGGAGACAGTATGTTCGGAGTTGTAGCAAGTTGTAGCAAGTTGCCTGAGAACATCATAAACGAGCGATTCAGCTGGGTTCCAGGTGGGTCTCTGGAAAAAAAACAAATTAGTTTGCAAGTGAGTGTATATTCGCTAATTTCGTGCAATTTGGTTTCAAGTAGAACATAAGGTTGACGGAAACCCGGGGACTGCGTCGACCTGATGAGCCCCCAAGAAGGGCGAAACCGGTCGTGGGCTGTCGATGGATTTTCAGCAACCTTGTGAGTAGTACATTACAATGATAAGTTGTACACTTGTTGACGGAAGTGGCATACCAAAATCAGCTGTTCTTTTACCATTTCTATTCGCTTTCTACACAAACTGTTTGAAAACTGACCACCAGTACATCTTGATAAAACATGCAGAAGGCATGGCTGCTTGCAATCTGTATTCTACAATATGGCGCAACTTATTTAGCTGACCAGGATATTAAGGCTGTGTGCCGGTAGACAAACTATATCAAGATACACACTGGTGTTGTCTGGCCTTTTAGGACCCCAACAGCAATTAGCCATTCGTTGTATGTCACTTCCGGGTTTATGGAATTTGCATTCACATCAACCTCGTTCTGACAGAATTATTTTGGTGAGTCCACACTAAATGATGAAAGAACTGGACTTGAGTTTCGCTCTTATCAGTTCTCATCAGCAGTACCTATCCTTGGCCTTGTCCACGTTCGAACTCCGGATATTTCACATGTGGGATGAGTGTGTTAGCGCACTCCACCAGTGCACACTGGATGCACCTAACTTATCGGATCCGAACAAGGGATGATGTTCACAGTTGAACAATACGATTTTTCTGCCTGACGGGTTGAATGACGACCCGGTAACTGTTCTAGTTATGTTGGTAGATTGACTCACCTGCCAGCAGTTCTCGGTTGGCCCAAACGGCGGAGGCTTGGACCATTTTCGCTTAGTTTTAAGTGGTTTCTGAATTTGTAGAATTCGCGTTTGTATCACTCTCATCTAAGGATTTCTCCTTTAATCTATCTTCGGTAAGTTTACACCAGAGGGGGAAACACTAGACCCTAGTTTCGCTCTTTTTCTAGCTAATTATCATTGCATATCGGTTACCTCCAGCAAACTGTAAAATATAGTTGTGTTGTGATCTCCTCTGACGAATTTAGATTGCGTATGTCGACCAACCCTTCCCTGGAATTAAATGTCTGATCTATTGCATACGACGAATGGCTTTCTCAGGTTTTATTAATTAAATGATACAAACTTTCATACTTGCAGTTACCTTTTGCGTTGTTTACCCGTCGTTTTCGGCGAACCACTGAAAAGCGATTGTACTGTCATCAAATGCTGTGGTCAGCCCTTGTCGACTCCGGGTAACATAAATTAAGATTTCCTAAAGGGTAAAGATGTTTTCGAACATTACTCACTAACACTTACTATCTCATTTATGGTATTTCGTAATAAAGTATACTGTACTATCCAAATACTTGTGCCGAGTTTCGGAACAAAATTTGCCGAAAAACCTGAGAGTTTTCCTACCGAGTAACTTGAAGCACATGCAAAACATGGCGGTTAAGTTTACACTAAACGTTTTCTATCTTGAATGTGGCTTAAGGTTGGAATTACAAAATTTTAGTGTGGTTAAGTCCATTCAACAGACCTTTGAACAGCTGCTTGAAATGGGCCCCACAAGAATCCAGTCCACAGGCCGGTCCCGGAGTTGGCCCGCTGGAAGCTCAGGTTTGTCGGTCAACATTGCGCGGAGAAAGTGTGAGCTAGGACAGACTAGTGAACTATACGCGTTCATTATTTCACCATCCAAAAGTTAATTGATTAGGTTAATTTCATTATGTTCCGCTTGCTGGGAATAAGGCAAAGATCACAATCGTATCTTCTCCCTTAGTTAACCACTCGGGGAGTTACCATGTCTAACTTGACCCCATCATTCTATTTTTATTCTCCCGATCTCTATTTCATCGCCCACCTGTCGGTATTTTGTTCAGTACTATTCAGTGCTGTATAGTTTAACACGCCGACTGATGCGAACAGAAACTTCGAAAGAAAGCACACAAATTGTTGGGCACAACAGTGACATCTATGCCATTCACACTGTTCTTCATCCAAAGTCAAAAATAGCATACCTAGAAAAGATATAAAAGGCGCGTACTAAGAAGTTCCATGAATCTGCAACAATACGGGATACCATCTTCGTGGTATAAATGGCCCACAGGCTGTGGCATCCACTGTTCCTACACAGTGCTTAGACAGTTTCACAAATTTTGGATTCTTTAGCAATTTTCTATGTGGAAAAGACAGTTCCTATTTAGGAAAGTGTAGTCTAAACAGAGACCCCGACAACCTGTCCTATGATGCTTAAATATCGCCATACTTTTAACTGGAAAGTGCCATCGAATACGTCAGTTTTCTTGTTTTCTTTTCAAAACGGCATTTTCGTGCTCGTTAGATGGTCCCCCCGTTATTCTGAAACAGTTTTAGCCGACCGTTCTTTTGTTTATCTTTCTGGGTTTCTAGCTTCAAGGGCAATTCTTTCTTCTGCTACTGTTTCGTTAAATGTGACGCCAAAAATGGAGGCCTGCGCTCTGTTTTACCTTACATCTGCTACTTCATATTGGGGACTGAGACACCCACAAACGTCATACTGGGATTCCATTTGACGTCTTCTAACGTGTGCAGTGAGCTCTTTGGTCCTTCGTCTTCCTCGGACATCAGTTCGCTAGTCTGGCTGCTGTAACGACCGAACTGCCGAGGAGTTACACAAGGTGAGTAAGGATTTGAATCAGTAAACTCTACAGTAGCGTTAAACCACTTACTTCAGTCAGTGCAGGTGAATCAATAAATGTTGGGAAGCCTTTAAATATCAGTCTGAAAAAATGGATAGTACGGAGAAATAGGTCAAACTATTTTGGTTAAACTTGACATAATTGCTTCCGAAAACGATAATAACAATAAGCTGTTTTATATGTTAATGAAATAACAACGCGTAGCAATTGGATAGGCCTGAGAAAAAACACTGTGAATGGTTTCGATTACAATTGGCTGCCTGTGATGCAATCCGCCCAGTAAGGTAAGTGCAACTGCCGGTTAGAGTTACGTGTCTAACAAGCAATGAGCATTGTGAGCAAGAAGTGGCCTGATACTCATTCAGTCTGCAAAACGGCTGTCTTTGGTAACGACAAGATCACACTTCTAGAACAGTCTACATGAGCGACATCTGTTCTGTCCATTGCTGAGCTTCTTTTAAGGGTGACACGACATCTAATCAGCGAGTCAGTCATCAGATGAACTGCTTCCGCGCCGTGGCAATACGTCGTGCAGCAAATGAAATCGGATGGTCATCGTGGATTTCCGTCTTTCATTTAGATTATTGATAATACCGCTCATCCACTATTTGCTTCTGCCTAAATCTGGCGGTCTCATGCTCATTCTTCGCCAGCGGTATGCTGCGGTGGTTGCAACAAAACCGTCTGCCTTACTCCACAATGTCTTACACATTGTTTTATTCCACATACAACCATGTGGTTGTTCACCCGTAGGACAGGGTCCGTAGTATTGTGTGTACCGATATTCATAGATTTGTGTCTTCCAGTACGATATCTGCGTAACAACATACTGGCTAATACTGTCTGGTTTATTCATACTCAACAAGGAATATCACAATATAGCCTTGCCTGCTACTTAGTGAACATGAAAGCCTGTAACCTTCGAATCCCGTACAATACGGGGTCCCCGTTGTAGTCAAGAAACTGTTTCGAATGCCATGAGTCATTGTGTATTGCGCATGGTTCACCACCATATGAAAGTGAAACCTTTATTTCTTAGTGTGCTTTGTTGCAAAGCCCGAATTCAACTTCCGGAGCGTTTGATCGCGGAAGTTAAGAGAAGTTAAAGCTGTTGTCCGAAATGATCGTGGAATTTGAGGCTCATTTCAAGCTACATTTGCTATTGTGTTTGTTGAGTGAATCATCCATTAGCGCACCGTCAAGCTCCGCCACGTCCCCTAAATACACAGTAGTAATGTCAATTCGGTTGGTAATGAAACGTTTCGCTCAAATTGCACAGCGAAAAAAATAACGATCCTCTATGCTACCTAAGTGACCGAAATTCCTCTCAAAGCAGAACGGATTTATTTATTTTTATGCTTCGTAAACCTGCCGCCATGAATGCAGAAGGTCAATCCAAGTTATGCCATTTGCAGAAATGAACTTTCGACCATATATGGCATATAATCGAACATGGTTAGCGGCAGATAACAAAGGTTTCTGGAATCGTAGCTCTAGCGGCAAAATGTCGTCGCAAGAACCTGCCGGTCATATATTCCAAAAATGGAAGTTCTGCGCTTAAAAAGGTTAGCCATACCCAACTAACTGGTGCCAGTTCAGAAGCTTGCTCCGTTAACACGGAAGAAAAAGAAACCCCAGATGGATAAAAGAATCTGACAGTGGAACCCAGCCGTTCGATTAAGTAACGCACCTTGCGTTCTTTTCTCATGTATCTTCCTCAAATTCGTTAAAGACACTGAGGTTTTTTAAGTTCTTCATTCACGCTAATGCTTTTTTCCCGAGATCGTCCCGAAAGCCGACCCCCACGTAACAATCATACTTGTTATTATGTGTCACATCTTGTCTGTCATAGACTACGTACATTTCCACTTTCGCGACAGGTCAGGAGAGATATTTTACCATCACAGATCTCAAGCCATCTCCAGCCCAGCTGCTGGTAGTGAAGCTAGTCGAGACGATAGTACTGTTCATGCCAAAGTAAGCCACCCAATTGTGAGTGGTTTTACTGGTCATCACATCCGTGGGACGCTTTGAAAAAGCGATCGACAGCTTTCGACCAGACCCATGTTGTCTTACTATTTTTAGTTCGGTCAGGATTCTAGAACACACCGAGCAATAGAGAACATCAATTGGTTCCAGGCAATGTTGCCCAGGCACTTGTGCTCAATCCACTCGACACAGTCTCAGCGCCTGGAAATCTCATTTGTTCTGGCATCCAAAAGCATGTACCTTGTTCCCCATATGAATTATTTGAAATCCTTTAGACTTCCAAGTAGCGCCTTTCATTTTTTCGCCTGGTCATCCGTTTCCCACTGCTGAATTCCCTCAACCGGTATTGACACCGTAGTCAAACAGGACTGTGTTCTTGGTCATACTTATTCACAAGGCCAAGAAATTCTAAAAATCGCCGTATAATTTTGGCGCTATATTGGGCTTTGAATTGCCTGTTAGAACACTTGTCCGGTTCATAGTGACATTTTTCTGGTCAAAAGGCCCTGTAATTCACCTTTCACCCATAGAAATCCCTCAATAAATAACAGTAAAAATGGTTCTGTTCTGTTGAGCTTCCTTATCTGCTTGGAATTTTGCCACCTAACATGGATCCGGCGAGGAAATTGCATTTGTGTACTATTGTACTTGGTATGCCCTGTCTAAAGTACATTGTGTGTGAGTGACTACTTGTTCGGCATCCTAATGAGTGCCGTCATCAGATAAATTCTGACGCACTAATATGCTGTGTAACACTTGTAATTCCCTCAAGACATGAGTGTTTTATGAAGCGCCGGTTTTCACAGTTTCATAAGGCGGTGGAAGAATTATTTGTTTTATTTGATCCTTCATTATGTCGGGGAGGCTGACTGGTTGTTTCATTCTTGTTTAGACTTTCCATTACTAGTGACTTACGCTCTAATGGTTTTTCCGTTTAAAAACAGATATGTTAGCCCGCCTTGTTCGACTATGGTCAAGAAACGATTTTTAGATTGCAAGGCATGCTAAACAGTCTAGCCATATGATTTCTGATTACGTTGTAGCTGAACTGTTCAGAGAAACTTAGCTAATGCAGGAGTTTGTGGACTTTTCGCCACCATAGGATGAGGCATTATCATCATATGGATATTTTCTTCACTTCTCGCGTCGGTATAATTCCCAAAAGGCATCTCACAAACCTGACATCGCGGGTCGTTCAAATATTGTCGCCCACGATTCGTTTGGTCCGTTCTGAATTTAGATTCCGGTGGGGTCATGGTCCCTCGGATTCGATTGGTTTGTTTAATACCTGCTTTTAATTAGTGCTGTTCCTTTGTACCTACTAGCCTGGTGCTCTCCTTGTATGCCTGATCTTTGGTCCTTCTCCTTTGGCTTCAGTGGTCGGTTGAATACCGTTTACTTCCAGTAGTTCTCTTCTTTGAAAATGATTGCTCCGCTTAGAGTTTTCGGGGCTGTGTGGTCCAAATTTGTGGTTAACGACTGTCCCATTACGTCTCGTTTTCGTTTGCTTTTGACTTTTTTCTTCTGATTTGATGGTTCAGCTTTTGCAGGGTGAACATTCCAGTGAGAAAATATCCACACGTTGGCATCCCAATTTCATTTGCTGGTTGGTGGCCGTTGGTGTTCTACAAGCTTGGCGACTAGCATCTCCACATTTTTTCACCTATCGAGGGGACATCATCAAACCAATCCAACCGTGTACCGATGAGTTTCACTCGAGTGATAACGAAACATCTGCAGGCTTACTAGCAAACTGGGTGAATAGATCAACCTGAACAACGACAAGTACATCCAAGCAGTCCTGGTTTGTTCTGTTTAGATGTGTGCCTTCTTACCCTTATTTCCCTTTACTAATATCTGCTCTGGTGGACCTTCGGGGTTCGGGGAATAAGAAAAGAGCTACAAAGCCCCGATACTTTTAGATCCTATCTTTATTTATTAGGATTACTATTGAACTTAGTGGTGATGTAATTCATTTATAGGGAGGGCGGGATATCACACATACCGAGTGCGTTCCCACTCAAAACCATTCAGTAGTCTGTGTAAAAGCAGCCGACCCTTAGAAGTACAATGCAGTTATCCGCAAAATTTTTGAGAGTGGAATAAACTTTTTAGGCCAAAGTATTGAGCGTTGTGCCTAAAATATGCGCATCAGCATCATCTAAGTAGCTGGCTTGAAGCGTACACCAAAATGTGACCCACTGAAGAGGTGAGAATCATTGATCAGTTTGCGTTCTTCTTTATGCCAGTTAGCTTCCGTGGTTGCTGCAGAATCCTGAATGGTGTACTTGAGTATTCGGTGGCTTTGCAAGCAAGATGATTGGTCAAGACTCGAAGAAGTGTTCTGAAGCTTGGGTGAGGAGCGGTGATGATTATTTCAAGCAGTAGAAAGAAAAACGCTGAAGTCAACGACCAAAATATTATGAGCCCGTGATAAGTTCTCGATTATTAAGCGCTTTGGAGGTGAAATGCATTGCTGTTGCCACAAAACCCTCTCTATTATTTGGTCCATATACTTTTAGAGATTTTGCAAATATCCCGTCCAATCTTGCTTGTTGAGAGCTAGAAGCCTGCCGGACCAACTAAATGGGACGACTTAACTGAGGTTCTTCAGCGACACGATAATACTCAGAAGCAGTCTTGTGTTTCATGATACTTGCAAACAATTGTTGGAACCGCATGTCAACGTTTTATTCGGGTAGTGATGAGGTTTCTAAACAAAATCAAAAAACGTTCCAGAATTGGCTTGTTGGTGTGATAATCTTGCATGAAAGAAAAACGGAAATTTTAGGATTTGAGTCGCACTTTAGGCATATGGAAACTTGCAACCGGTTCATTGATGAATGGACAAATTCTTTTTAGTCCTATCGATTTACGTAACAAAGCCGTCATTGATACGTAATTTTAACCAGGTTTGTCATTCGAATTCGATAAGTAGAATAAACTTCCGGTTTTTCGTGTGCGGGAAATGCCTCATAAATCATCAGAATGTTGCGAGTATTTTTAGAGTAACCAGGCAAAATCGAAAAACAAACATGTTGGCTTGAAATAAGCACTACGATACTTCTTGGGCATTTGTTTATATATACTTGCCTAATATCTCAAAAGGATGCCTTTTTGTCGACCGACCGCCAGAAGGTTGCGTTTGTTTGCAATAAAAAAGAAGCCATTCTTATGCACGGCTTTCTATTGCAGGTGTATTCGTGTAATTTTAAGACCACGTTTGCGAAATGTCAGTTAAAAAGCTCTGGGACCGAGGTTTCAAGTTTGCCCAGAAAAACTTTTCCGCCGCGGAAAATGAAGAATGAACCCCCTCAGAACCGTGATGAGCCGTTTGATAACACTCCGCTGAAATTTCCACCAATGATTCTGTTACTTTGGAAACCACAAGTAACCATCCAATCCAGCACTAGTTCTGCCGCGCCAGAAAGGGAGGGGCAAAGGGATCTACCAATGGGAAGGGTGTCGTATTTAATAGCTTCATGTCAGATTTTAGTCCATGGTCTCAAAGAGGCCTCTCTCCAAATTTGGTGCTTCCAATGACAGCTGTTTGCCTGCGCAGAAAATTTGGCCCCATCAAAGTGCAATCTCCTCATGCTGTTATTCGGAAAAGCAAATTCTCTCCCATATGTCGACAGTTTCAATAAAGTTTGGTTCCTTGGGCTTCCGAGCAAAGCTTGAACTCCAGGGTGTCGCTGTGAAAGCCTGTTAGGTCTCGTGTGATTTGAGTGGATCAACAGGGCGTGGTACTTCTGCCAGTGCTTTAAGGAGGTCGTTTTTACGGAAGATTGCCCCTTCTAATAAGCAACTAGCTTCTTGATTCGGCGAGGTTTATATTCCCTTTTCTACCACTGCCGCTGCACTTTTGTGATGTCACGGTCCCCCACATCATCAGCGGGGTTATCGGGTCAACGCTGGTTCATGGCCTGTCGGCGGAATTCGCTCTTCATTTCCGTATGACTGATCTAAACCAGCTTGGAAAGGCAACTTGTTTGCGAAGTTGACCACTGCAATTTACAAGCGACGGTAATTCCATGTATGTTGGATGCACTGCCTATTGAGGTTCGCCTGACTCCACGAATCGCTGCAGTAAGTAGTCGATTCGTCCGTCGCCATTGAAAGCGTTATGGCAGGTGGATTGGCAGTCTTTTAGGAACACAATATTTAGAAACTACCATCGCGTTTGTCGCAACTTTTTATTCCCCAGACCATCGACTAGGGGGAGATTGAGTTGCTTCTTTTCTCCAGAACCACCGTAACCTAGTTCTCACGCCCACGCATGACGACCTCTGGATATACTCTCAAACGTCTGGAAAGCCTTCGAATATTGATAGCCCTATTTGAGGTCTTTTGTTCCAAAGAAATGAAGCAAACTTTAACTGAAAGCCAGAAGTTTGGATTGATTCCCATTCTGCATATCCATCCTTCGTGAAACCGCTGGACTTCGGACTTTGTAACAGCATCCTCATGGTCTCACGGATTCACGGATTGATAAACAGGATCGAGGCTTTTGCTCAAGGTTTACTGTACCACTTTCACTTTTGTCGTTCAACGGCTGAAACGCACATCTGAAAAAAGGTGCAGCATTGCTCTTTAAGTTCTCACGCGGGCGGTATGCTCACCAGGGCAAGAAATCGTGTAAATACGCGTATTCAAGAGGCGGCCTTACGCAGGCCATATAGGTATTTGGAAGACCATTCGTGTAATACGGGAGAAGGTGTGCCGAATCATCCGTAAAATGGCGAATGCCTTTTGGTCTGATTTCTCATGGTGCAATGAGGAGGACAATGTGATAATTAGAATAGTGGTAGGTATCTTAACTACCGAATGTACGCGTAGTATAGAAGTCCGAATATGGACGAATGAATATCGTATATTCTCGAATATCGCGGGCGTACCTTCAATCACATCGTAAAACAAAGGCACATAAAAATACACTAAACAGAATGAACAGAATAAAGTAAATGTTCACCACATCCACCACACGTTGAATGAGCGTGCGGGTGTTTATAGTCTCTAATTGGTTGGAACCTCAACCGTTCAGATCTTCTCAACGTCGGATTTTCAGGTTCAGTGTTTGTTTCATGCTCATCAGAAGCATCTCTAGCATTGAATTCGACCTGATCAACATGCCGTCTGTGACTTGAGAGACCTTCGCGGTTAAGAACCGTGACCATACGATTCCCGTTCCTCCCAATAACAACACCAGTAGATGGACGTAGATCGTTACATTTGAAAAATGTTACGTCGGCAGTCCCAATGCATTCCAGGTTCGTGCGTAAGGATCTCGATTTGAATAGCTCTGCTGGACTCTTACCAGTAATTGAATGAGCAGCATTCTTGTACTGCATCAAGAAATTGTCAATACCTCGGTCAAGATCATGGAAAGTAACAGGGGAAATAGAATTGATGGCAGATTTCAAAGTTCGAACAAAATTTTCAGCAAGTCCATTAGACTGTGGATGACGGGGAGCAGTAAATAAATGACGACAACCAAGTCCTTTCAACCAATATTTGAGAGGTTTCGCTGTAAAGTGTGAGCCGTTATCAGTGACCAAAACAATTGGTACACCTTCACGACTAAATAGTTTCCTCAAAGCATACTGAGTGAACTCAGAATTCGGGGATGTCGTGAGAAATACTTCCGTCCAGCGTGAATAGGAATCCATAACCGCCAGTGCATAATATTTGTTCAAAAATGGACCGCAATAATCTGCATGAATGCGTTGCCGTGCTTCACGGGACAATGGCTAAGGAATCCGTTTGGATGGTTTGGAATGAATTTTATGTGTACAATTCATACAATCCTTAGCCGTACGCGCAATGTTTGCATCCAACTCTGGTCACCAACAAGTAAGTCTGGCAAGAGACTTCATTTT